ATCAAGCTTGGTTTTACTTGGGCTAGTATTTTTTTGTGATATTGAAATTGGTACCAAGAATTATGAAATTTCAGTGCATAAAAAATGTTGATAGCATATGCGCGTTCGCTTTCTAACATGGTCCACGTGCTCGAATCTGTCGTCAATTGGACAAATGGAGTGAAAGAACGTTCGTTTTGATGTGTTTGGTTTAAACAGCTCGTTTGCGTTTTTGTACAGATGTTGTACAGAAGGTTCCCAGTGTAAGAAACAAGTGGATAGTTTATTTTTAATGGCACCCCGTATCGTGTCAGAGGATTGATCGGAGCATTTTGTTTTGTAAACAAGGCACAGTGTCATGGAGAATTCACTAAGAAACATTTGTTGAAAGATGAAGCGGTACTAGATCTGACTGCAGCTGCATCACAATCCGTAAGTAAATGATTTAATAATGTTTTGTCTGGAAAGGACCATTTTATTTTGATTATGTTGTCAAAACACACATGCAATAGCCAGGGGTGCTGATACTGTTTCCTATGCAATGACTGTTAGCCAATCATAACAGTGGCCGATTACTGAGAAGCCTTAAAGGACACGCCCCTTAAAAACAGGCTGTTTTAGAGAGAGGTTCAGACTAGTGAGGGTTGAAAATAATAATTTTTCCACTTTTTTTTTTTTGTGGAGAAAACTTTATTAACATTATAAGTAAACCTAAAGGAACATATTAAAATTCAACGGTTGATTTATACATGTTACATACGAATTATGTATGCCAAGTATGGATTAGTAAAAAAAAAAATTCTGGATTTTTTTGTTTTGTTCTAATTAATAGAAGGTTCAGCACAACAGCATTGATTTTAAATAGAAAGATTTTGAAACATTATAAATGTCTTTACTGTCACTTTTGATCAATAAGTGCTTCCTTGCTGGATAAAAGTATTTATTTCTTTCAAATTTAGTTTGAACAGCAGTGTATGTATCTAGCTGTATTCAAATAATTTATTAATATCTAAACACCTAGTATAACATGTAGGTCAAAGACGCAGATGATGAATTGATTACGGTAATTTCTTGACTGTATGTTTTCGTGATATTTCACACACATGTGAGTATACAAGTGTTACAAAACGACCAATAGGATGTTAGGACTGTCAATTCTGGTCTCAGAAATGGTTACGAGCCATTGCGTAAGGCAGAATGACAGAGAACAGCCATCAGGACACTGACCGCAGCCAAGGAGGGAGAGCCCACAGAAAAACAGTCACTTTAAACAGTAAGATTCACTGCACTTGACAGTTAGTTATTGTTGTTGTATTTTTTTATTTTTTAAATTTTTTTTTACATGAGAACATTTTAATGTATTGTACTTCATAGTAAAGTCCTTTGATTTGGTAATGAGAATGTTTACAATTTAATGGTCTTGCAAGAATACGTTTGATGTCTTTTTTATATGGTTTTGTGTATTTTGACAGTATTGTATGTCAGTTAATAAATCTCTGATATTCAGAAGTCCTGTCGTTCTGTTGTTTTTGTGATTTTCATTTGCTCTTCTCCATGTTTGTGATGGATGAAGTTCAGACATAGTTTGTCAGTCTAGAGGTTAATATTCAACTGTTTGTCACATGACCTTGAAACCTTGCGTTAGTACATTTAGTCTCTTTATTTACACCTCAACATTTCTATGTTGGGACAAAATTCATTATAAAAAACCTGATGTAAATCAATCCTGCTTTATTCTTCAGACATGGAAACTGTATCATATGACCGGTTTACCACACCTGAGGCAGAAATTAATCATGCTGGCCAAAAATGTTTGTATGAATCAGGTGAGAAACATGTTTTTTCATTCATTTTATGAAAGGAATGTTTGCATATTACTTACTAAGAAAGACTAGCATGTCTAGTAACCAGATAAGGCGTTGAGTAAATCGTTGTTTATTAATGAATGGTGACACTCCATGACAATTCAAAATTTATTTTCTATAAAGATGTACATTCTGTATGGCGTTCTCATCCTCTATGTGTTTATACTAACTCTGGCTGTAGGAATTAAAAGTATGTTGTCAGCATTTTTCTTCCACCCACTAATTTGTTGATGTCAAATTTAGCAAAACTTGTTGTTGGATCCCACTGCATGGGATTTTTCACCAGAGAGTTTGATTTTAATTATAATTCTTCAAAGTCTCTCAGGTCAACCAAGATGTCGCTGATGTTAGACTTTCTCTGAAGACCGTTGAGGCCCCCAAAACTTTGCAATTTGGTAAAGACCACTTTTTCTGTCTTTGTAAAATTACAATTTTATATTTAGTCATTCAGTCATTTAGCAGACACTTTTATCCAAAGCGACTTACAAATGAAGACAATAGAAGCAATCAAAACTAATAAAAGAGCAACAATATGTAAGTGCAAATGACAAGTCTCGGTTAGCCTAACGCAGTACACGTAGCAAGGTTGTTTTTTTATATATATATATATATATACATGCAATGACGTCATCACAGACCGGTAAGTGAATTCCCATTGCATTTGTCATGAGAGTTTTGTAATATGTCTCGCTTTGTTCGCTTCCCTTTTAATAGTTTACATGATGATTAGCAACAATTGAAAGTAACAATGCGCATGGTGGAGTCTCTATATATTAAAGTCCAGTGACTGCTGGAATTGATGACCCTAATCCAGCTCTAAATGGTTCTTAGTCGCTCAATAATTCTGTAAGGACACCAAACAGCACTGCTCTTGCCAGTCTTAGGGCTTCAACAACTGAGAGCAAGGCAGTCTCGGTCGAATGTCCATTTCTGAAGCCAGATTGGTTGCTGTCCAGGAGGTTGTTCTGTGTGAGAAAGGCTGAGACTTGGTTGAACACAACTCGTTCAAGTGTTTTTGCAATGAAAGGTAGAAGGGAAACCGGTCTGTAGTTCTCTAAAAGAGTTGGGTTAAGAGTGGGTTTCTTAAGAAGTGGGGTTATACGAGCCTGTTTAAATGTTGAGGGGAAAACGCCAGTGTGAAGGGATGTGTTAACAATGTGAGTTATATAGGTATATCCATATTTAAACGATACTAACAATACCTGTAATATTAATTTGTTATTTTTCTATTTCATTTACTCATCTTTTTCTCCTAGAAAATGCTAATTTCTCTGAACGTGTGATGCTGGTGCAAGGTGAGGCTCCTCATGACTTACAGTGAGGTCCAGAAGTCTGAGACCACTAGAGCAAATGCATCTAAGCTTTCCATTTGTATAATTTAATAATAATGGCTAATAAAATATCATTACAAAAGATATCATCAGCATAACAATTTGAGTAAACCGTTGAAATTGGTTTCTCAGCACTTGAACCTCTTGAACTCTACAAGTTTGTGTGAAACCTGATGATAATGTTCTCCAGATTTGAGATGATCCAAAGATCATCTTGAGCTTGATCAAAGAGTCACATGATCAGTGTCACAAATGTACTTATTTATTAGTGACCTAAAAATAGTTCAGAAACGTATTCATATTTATTCATGTTACATTGAAACATTTTTTAAAGTTTTAAATCTGAAAGTGCACCGTGTATAAAGTTATTGTCTCTCAAAAGAAAGAGTCGACTCTGAATCATTGAAATGAGTCGTTTTTAAAACGAATCCCAAGCCGTTTTATGTTGACGTCAACATGAAACATTAGCCTATTGCCCGCCAACTTGTTGGTCTTTTCGCATTGGCCTGAATGAAAATGAGACCAATCGGACCAATCACTGCAGATTAGCATCACGCAAAGGAGGGGTTTGGAAAAACGAATCGTTAAACGAATCGTTTTGGAGTCGTTGAGCAAATAAGGTAAAAATAAATGCATATTATAAGACAATGAAAGTGTTTTTTGACCTTGCATGCATGTCAACCTGTTGTTGGGGACTCCCAAAACCAAAATATGAACCTTTCATTACCCATAATAGGGGCACTTTAAACATATTTTAAACTTTGTTTATTTCCAAGTTTAAATTAGATTATGAATCCCAGATTTTAAAGGGGTCCTATTATGCTCTTTTACAAAGTCTTGATTTTGTTTTGGGGGTGTACTAGAACATGCTCTCATGCTTGGTGGTTCGAAAAACGCATTATTTTTCACATAATTTACATTATTAAAATACCTTTCTCCCCAGCCTGGCACAAACGGCTCGATTTGTTCCGGCTTTGATGAAGGTCCGCCTTCCGAAAAACAAAATGTGCTGTGATTGGTTAGCTGTCCCAGTGCGTTGTGATTGGCGAACAGCTTAGACGGTGTTTCAGTACTGCCATGCCCCTTGCTCCGTCTTTCAACAAAAGCTTTTTGGCGAATCCGGCACTGTACTCCCTCGTGTTGTGGAAGCTGTCCTCAGTAAAATGCGCAGCACACAATAGCAAATTGGGGTTATAATGCTCAGGGAACGAGGTAAAAATTAAATTGCAACCACCGTTTCCTGACATCATCCGCTTTCGGAAGCCCAAACAAAGACGTTGGGGCACGGAGGTGAAAAAAACAGCGTTTCAGGCAGTCGCGCACCGGACGAGAAGCGCAGCGTCGCATCGCG